ACTGTTGTTTTGATGTTTGTACATTTGAATTTGACATTGGGTTTTCCGTCTAATTAATAGATGAAAAGGTCAATTATGAAGTCAACATGGCTATTGTTTCACACACTAGATCTCAAAACCATAACCATGATTTAGATTGAAATACACAAACATACAATCTTCGTGTATGTGAAAACTGAGTCCCAGGAAAAACAACTATATAACGCCAAATCCTAACAGAGGTTGTCTCAGGTAATTTTCCAAAGAGAGTGGGTCTGGACTATACTCTTTGTTATATTATTTAGTGAGCCTCAACATAAATCCACCATGAGCAAACACTCTGCAACAAAGACACGTCAGCCAAAGTTGAAACTTTCTTTGAGATGGATTATGTGACCAGGGGACCACATGACAAGCAGCACTGCAGGAGACGATGTGATGGTGTTTTGCATGCCCCCAAATATAGATCGACTGCAGATCTCTTATTCGAACGCCTTGTGTTACCAATGACAACAATCCTGAACATAATAAGACAATGCATCCAGCCTACCTCAGGTCAAAGAGCAAGGACCCACTGCCAGGCAAACAGCAAGTCAGTGATGACGCGAACAAAATAAGAAATTGCAAGTTTGCAGCTTCGATTAGAGAGAATCTTGTTTAAAGATTGAGGGATTGTTTTTGGACAAGTTTAGGAGATTCAGACTTTTAGATCAGCTCATAAAAATGACACATCAGTACCAATCCCATCATCACATCTTTTGATGAAAACTTTAAGTGTATATTGATTAATGCAACTCAGTGGTTGCATGTCTCAGGGTAGTCTGTGATCGTTGTCACTAATGGCAACCCTGTTTTTGCACCACTGAAGCATGATGCACGGCTGATGATCCCATTTCATTGACGATTTTAATTACATCTTCTTGTCTTGTCGGAGCTGCGTTTGAGTTGGATCAGAGCCAGAGCTCCTGATTAAGCTCTCACTCACTGCTCTTACTTATGCAGGAGACGTACAATTAAAACAAAACTCAGATTGGATAAGCACCTCTTGACTCGCGCCGCCATCGTGCCCTCCACTTGAGAACGTAGTTGAGAAGGAAATGTTGTTTCTACTCAGACTCATTTCACATGTCCTTCCTCACACAGTAAGACGAGAATATAAACCCTACTGCATATTCCAGCTGTGATCTGCTCCTCTCTCTCTCTCTCTCTAAGAGTACTAGGAGAAAATTTATATCAGGTTCAATCTACGTGCATGAAAAATCCTGCCACAGTGTGTTTTTGCATATAGCCTAAAAGCCTTACAAACAAAAAGAATATAAAAGCATCTGTGAAAGGCCACACAATCTTGTCAGTGTGCATTGTTTCTCGTAGATCAGACATCCAGCTTTTAGAGTTTGGAAAGTTTTGGAACTTGGCAGCTTCACAATGAGGACAGGACCTCAGAGATACTGTGTGCTTTCACTCTTAATGTGCAATCTTCAGTTATAGCCTACAAGTGAATATTGCATTGTTATGTTAGTGAATATTGCATTGTTATGGTGAAGGAAATATTAACTTCTTCGCCCAATAGAGGTATTAGTTCAATAGATAATACTAACAATGAAATCTTTTATGATGAGCATGTCGTAATCATCATGAAATATGTCTAAATATCTGATGTAGGTGCAACTAAAGATATTTTTCATGTAAAGTAAAAAGACTTTCTGATCCTATATGCACATACCTTAAGGAAGGGAGAAAGACTTCAGGACGTTCCTGTATTTAAAATGGTAAAATCTGTTGGATTATTTGTGGATTTCTTTCCTACCAGGGACAACGTGTCATTTTAGAGATGGATGGTGGATACTTCTCCTGAGGGCCTCCAGTCAGCCCTCAGGGCCTCTCACTGATGTGATGCTTTAAAGTTTCTTTGATGCTCAAGCGAGAGAGGCACTTTCCCTCAATTTTTTTTTTACAGGACTGACGTCAGATTTATTTTTGAAAGTATATTATATATTTGAGTTATAGTTGAAAATAACAGTCGTTAACTGTTAAGCTATATATTTTTGCATGTCGATGTCTCGGCCTACGCGTCCTTTAACTTTAAACTATGTGCACATTCATTCAGGACAGATTTAGAATGACGTCAATTTATATCTAATGTATTTGTGCACAAACGGAATAAATTAGTTTCTGTTTTGACAGACTGGCTTCTCTTTTTTGTGGAGCGATGTGTTGGCACAAAAAAAAAGAGTGATGACAGACAAAAACACATTTCTGCAGCTGGAGTAATCTACAGTGTTCTCCAGAGACATTCACTCTCTAGGTACTGTTTAACCCCTCTTTAAAAGTGCCTGAAAGTATCCAAATGTGCAAAAAATACATTGTTTGATTCATGTCGAAGGATGATGTGATTATGTCTGTAGTCACGTCGCCTAACAAGAAGCATGAAAAAAGCGTAAGCTGTCTGATGTGCAACCCATCCAGTCATTTTACTGAGAACTGAGAGCGTAACCCTCCGGGCTATCCTTTTGAACTTCATCCTCTCGCAGCCTTGTCTTGACTCGGGGAGGGGTGGTGGGAGTCAATCTCACAGAACGCCGTATCTCTAATGATGCACGCGTGGCCCAAGGCCAGCAGTTTTGCATTGCTTTCAGAAACTGTCACTTCCATAATTTGCATGAGTTGACTTGTTCCTTTTCCCTGAGATGCAAAGTCATTAATCCATTAATTCACTAACAGTTCATGTGTCAGAATCCAGCTCATTTAATGCCAAGACTTTGTTTACTGATGGTTTTTCGCTGGTAGGCATTTTGCCAGTAACCTGAGCTGACCTACAACACGGCACTCAGTGAATCATTCAGCTGGGATAGTCACAAGATTACATGAAGATAGATGCACATGTAATCTATCTATGTAAAAAAAAAATCAAATTCCTTCTAAAGAAACAATCATTCTCAGTACAAGGACTTTCTCTTAGTATCAACATGAAGAGAGAAGATGATGCTTCGGTCACCCTGAGGAGAATTATCCCCTTCACATTTCAAATAACTCATAATAACATGTATGTCAGATCATTACACGCAAAAGCATCCTCATTAGGAGAAAAGTGTCATTTTCCACCTCTAGCATCCTAAAATTAAAGGTACTCACCTGTGGAAGTTCTTTCAACCTGTGGAATTTCCTGATTGAAGTTAATTCCCCTCAAGTGTGTGAACAATTAGAGCCCAATATGCAGAGTTGGTGGAGAGAAAGTGTGCGCTTCAGGTTCCTCCTCCTCTCCTACTGTAAGGTAAAGAAATCCTTGCACCTGCCTCTTGCAACCCAAACAAACACCCTGCACATGCACAGTGTGTGTACTGAAGGACGGGGAGGGGGGGAAAGGTCAGTATCTGTTCTCAGGCGTGGGTTGGGTGTTCTCTCAGTTAAAGAGTATAGATTAGCAGACTTTTAGTCTTTTTTTAGCATCATGACATCATACAAAATAAGATGGAGACCTCTGCATGTGCAAAGCCTATAATGCCAACATCAAGAAAAAAAATTACAAAAGGTTGTGAATGCAATGCATTAAAAGCAGTTGCACGTCTTATCTTGTGTGTTCTGGATTTGCAATATAATAAATAACGTTTACAGTTGCAGTGTTTACAGTGTAATGCGTTTTCTAATCTTTGCTCTTTTATTTGCTAGAAGTAGAATCATTAACATTAGCTGCATTTTCACGGCAATTAAGTTTGCACCTTGCAAGATGTGAGACTACCGAGCTCCTCATTGTTTAATTGGTCGGGCTTAAAAGGTGTCCTGCACAAAGCCGCGGAGAGCACAGCGAGTGTCTTTGTCTCAGGAGTAAGAGCTAAGTTTAGCAAATCCTCACAGTGTGTATCTCAATGACAGCACATGTTGGACAGTCTGCGAGGAAACTCACGAATGTATAACCTCACATGCAAACGAGCCGCAGACGCACAGGCTGATGAACACTGCAGTCTGAACAGGTTGTACTGATGTTCACATGCACGAGCTGGAAATGCATAACCATAAGGGAAATAGTCTCATTTTAAATTTTAAAGTATAGTCTTTTGAATGTTAGTTTGTACATAAGACTACACATTCAGATAAACCAGAACAGAAGCACATGCATACTTGCATACACATTCACACATTTAAGCTATAGTTGTTTTATTGTTTTGGTGTTCAGACGTTTATAAGACCACCTTTTGCTGAAAATTAGCATACCCATGTACTTGCACACACAAGTGTACCTTTTGTCTAGAGATACAATTAAAGATCGAAGCACACAGCTCTTAAACCTTTTAAAAAAGTGTATATTATATTAGAAGACAAAGATATACTTTTAATATACAATTAATCCCGCAAGGGGAAATTCAACTCAACACTCTGTTGTTGTTGAACATCCTGCACACACTTAAATACACACACATGCACAAACAGAATCCTAGAGACATGCACTAATGGAGAGATGTCAGAGTGAGGGGGGGGCTGCTGACAGCGAGCACTACTGAGCTGGTGGGGGGAGTTTCGTTGCCTTGTTTAAGGGCACCTTGGCAGTGCTGAAGAAGTGACCTGGCACCTCTCCAGCTACAGTACCAGACATATTACCAGATTTTGATCCGCACCAGGAATGGAACCGACGACCCTCCGGTTCCCAACGCAAGTCCCTACAGACTGAGCTATTGCCGCCCCATAAATAACATCACAATGTATTGTTTCATGGTATTTATAAATAGCCTGCCATAGTACAGATGAAATTTAGTGATAGGGCTAATTCCTTCATATTTGCATGATCAAGTATTGCTCATATGTTAATGTACACTGTCCTAATTCCACTCATGCAAATAATGTTGGAAAGTAATACACAAGTGAGAAATACAAATTTGATGGCAGACCGTTTATAGTCAACTCACTTTGAGTTTGGACACAAATCAAGCACATGGTGCAAAAGATTATTAGTACATTTATATTAGTATTTCAGTATTTCAGTAATGGTTTTCTTGCAAGAAATAATGCCACCAACTTCTGCAGATTTCAGAAATATAGCATGTGGAGGGTCACTTTATTTTTTGATAAACAATCTTCAATTTTATCCTTTAAAAGAACACTCCAGAGACAGGAGGCTACAGCCAAAGAATAAGAGTATGTGGGTGTGGAGTTTTTAAGCAGCTACGTTGAGTTTGTTTAAAGTGGAGGTGGCTCAAACACAGAAGAAGAACAACATGCACACATAAGAGAGATACAGGTCGAGTGCCAGTTCTAACATCACATGATATTGATACAGCTGACATCTTCACTTTTTCCTCCAACTGTGGGAGTTACAAAAGTGGAAATAAATGACCAATTAAGAGTTTGCTGAAAGTACATTTTTCATTAAAGACTGAGAAAATAACGAATCTACTTCATGTTCTCCTCTATCCAGTCCAAAAGGTTTGCTATTCGTGTCTGAGCTGTGTAAATCTGATGGTTGCAGTGTCTTTTATCATTGTTGACACTCTCTAAACTGAGAAGCTGCCAGTCTGTACTGGACGATCCCAGAGTCTCCTCATGCTCAAATAAATCACCTCCTGTTGTTGAAAACACAGCTGGAGTGACTGTGATGCCTGGAATAACACCGGGACAAGGAGTCTGAGGACTGGACGGCTTCCATATGACACACAGTTTGTTATCATTTATCATCGTAGTGTGTGCTCCTCCTTGAACAAATGCTCCCTCGCATTGTGCAACATCACCCAACTGGACAAGTCGGGTCTGGCTCTTGGGAGTGTATCGGGTCAGGTGCGTGCCATCGTTTGGTGAAATCCACCTCGCTGTGTAAGCCTCCTGCGCCGTCACCTCTCCCCCTTGAACTATGGGCAGACAAACTGGCAGCACACGCTCACTGATCCTGACCTTGTCTCTTAGCTTGAGAACAGCCACGTCAGCGGCAGATACAGAGTCGAAATTTGGATGAACTAAAATGTCTGAAACCTGTCGGGAGAAAGAGAGAAAATAGATGAAAAAAAAAAAACTGGAAGACAGCACACCTTCGAGAGCCTGATTCCACGCGGAAGGAGCCAAGTTTTGTTGTTTTTAGAACATCCGTGGAGACCAGATAATATGCGGCAAGATGCGCAAATATATCCAATCCAAATCAAATTTAGTTGTATCCTGGTAAATCTTTAAATGCACAACTAAGTGCCAGAAGGATTTCATCCTCTACCATTTACAAACAAAGACCTATCCAGAAGATTATATTTATTTCATGAAGATTCCTGCTTAATACTTTATCACTGCATCTGCTGTTCTGTGGATTTTGCAGTCTTGGGAAACTTTAGCAGGTCAAAAGTTATGACAGATTTATAGGTTAAAAGCGGGACAAAGGTGGATGGGATTTCTTTATATGCCTATACAAACACTCTTTAACCACAATTAAAAAAGACTATTTCTAAAGATCAGTATATGTGCAACCAATATTCTCTTTAACATTTAGCCTTTTAACTAGAATTCAGCCCACTTAAGCCTTTGTCTTTATATCTTTTGACCTTCAAATGTCGTTCTCCGTGTTTGTGACATGAAACTGTAAACAACCTCACGTGGGAACGGTCTCAAAACAACAACATGGAAACCTTTTCCAGCTCATAATATACAACATCTGATGTATTTTCACACTGGATCTTCTGATGGGCAAACTGTGTTTTACCCTGAGGTGGTGCAGGCCCTTCAAACGATTGGAGGACCCCTGGTGCTGCACGCCAACGACAACCTTCACATGTGCCGGGTGAAGGGTCTGCAGCTTGTCCTTGTTTACCACACACTGAGCTGCCACCAGGACGCTTCGCTGTGTGAGCAGAGCCCCGCTGCAGGCCAGAGACCAGAATGTGGACTCCTCTGAGGCCCCCTGCTGGATGGACACGGTTTTTCCACGGGGCGTGTGGGTGCTGGCTGTGTGATCAGGAGGCGAGCGGATATAGACGGCTGCATGCCACGGCCACTGAGTGTCTGTGAGGTTGTGTGCGTTGGAAGCGTTGACTTTGCCACAAACTGTTGGGGGGTTAAAGTCAGAGAGGAGAGAGTGTGAGTCAAGAGTATAACACAGAGCTAATTTATTAAAAGCTTTACAGACACACTTCTATCATTATTTGCCTTTGTCTGTTGTCTAACTCGTCCCTCTAAAACAGATAAAGCAAAGCTGATTGGAGGCGCAGAGAGATGGATACACATAAGAATAAGAATAATACGACGTAAACAATAGTCTAGATTATTGCTTGAGTGAAAAAAAGTACAAAACACAACAAGGTTTCCAAGGCACTGTTCTGTTACAGAAGTTAAAAAAGCCTTTAGGCTCCGATGAGCTGAAACGCGTCGGTCTGCCACACATGTTTAGCTCTTTACCTGTAGCCATGAATTCATAAAGGCTTTATAACTTTTGTAACGGAACAGAGTGCCTTGGATACCTTGTTTTGTTTACCTGCTTTACTCTTCAGAGGACTTTTTTTCTCTCAAGCGATAAACACATCTAGCCCATCGTTTTCATTGATCTATTCCACCCTCCCCAAAGAGCACCTGTTTGCTGTTCAGTTTGATTGAGGACCCAGGCAGCCAATGCTGCCTATAAGGTGGGGGGGAGGGGGAGGAGGGGGGGGGAAGCTTTCTGGGGCCCTGGAGGGTTAGGTCATCCTAAATTTAAGCAATCATAACCATTTTTTTTAAACCTAAATACTAACCATTACTTATTAACAAAACAAAGCAACACATTTTATCCAGTGTTGCCTGTTTCAAAATTCTTTCTAAAATGCTAAAAACCCTTTTTATGTGGTGACATTTAAGTTGGTGGCGAGCCCATTGAACTTAACTGTTTGGACAGTAATGTTGGTTTGGGTATAGCTTTGCCAGGATCTGCACAAAAGTCAGGATGCTGGAAAGAAAAGCTGCATTTGACGATTTTCAGTCAGCTCCAAAAGCTGATCAGTTAAATCAAAATATTTATCTATGGATTTGCTATCATATTCACATTCACAAGTTATTAATTAAACCAGATTCATGGCTGCTTTTTGCAGAAAAATCCTGCGAGGTTATATGACCAAATAAATTACTGTTTTTGTCCTAACACTCTAAAGTAGAACATACATACATGTTTTTCCTCTGTAAAAATATTCAGGTTTTATTTCATGGGTTGGGTCAGTCTACACTGCTGCTGCTATTACCTGGTGAGCAGGAAACATGGCTTCCACTCCACCTTCCCGTCTTCAGACAGGTGCGTCGGGAGCTTCCTGTGTGCCTGAAGAGCGGGGAGGCACACTTGTACTCAATGCTGGTGTAGACGGGGTGAAATCCACGAGGCAGATCCACCGAGTCCTCCTCTTTTAAGTGTTTATCAAACTTCAGCGGAATGAAACCGGCTGATAACAAATCGTCCATGCTGTACCTGTAAGAAAGGCGGAGTCAGTGCTCTAGATTCTCTTTCAAAAGCTCCTTTTCTGCATACAATAATCAAATGTGTGGACACTCTTCTTTACTGTAAGTGAGCTACATCTACAGTACAAGAAAAAAAATGTATTTCCAACATCAGCTATGTTCAAGTAGCTACCTTGATCGCTGACGTGGCTTCACAACATTTTGGCGCACAAGTTCGGACACTTTGGGCTCTCGACATGCTGTAGGGACTGAACAAGAAGGTGACTTTAGCTTCTTGTTCAGAAACAGCTTCAGAGCCTTTATTGCAAAAACTGTTCAAACTAGCAACAATTATTTGCGAGCAGTTAGTTAATCAGCGTAAACAGGAAATTGCAGGAATTTTATGCATACAGGTACAAATGTGCATTATAAAAATAATTCAAAACCAATACTGATTCCTCGTAAACAAAGGGTCTCATTTATGGTAGACTCATCTTCGCCCTCTAATTGATCAATTTTAACTTATGTTTACATCAGAGTTTGTTCACGTTAAGACTTACTTTATATAAGAAACATTCTTTGCCACTTTCATATAGTACTGCAGTAGATAATGGGCTGCTTTCTGTGTGTATCAGGGTGTTCCTTACCTTAATATAGTCTGAAAGAAAAATACCTTTTACACACTTGGGTGGCCTGGTACTCCAGGATCCATTCGTGTGGCAGAAACTCTGGTGGTTCCCACTCAGAATGTAAGACTTTTTGCAGAAAAACTCAATGGTCTCTGCACCTCCAGCTGTGTTAGGAGTAGATCTGTGGTAGCCGTTGAGCAATTTGGGTGGTGGGGAGCACTGGATTCTGCTTGTGTGGGCTGTATAAGTAAGTATTGGAGGTAGGAGAGAAGGCAAACTCTTTTCAGCGATGCATGATAAGGCTTTTATGGTGTGAAAAACAGAAGAAAAACAAAACCAGAAATCATCTGATACCTTCTACACATGTGGGAGCTGTGCCGCTCCATGTGCTGTTGGGCAGACAGATCCTCTGCTGGGAGCCGATCAGTGTGAAAGGTGAATGACAGCGATAGTTTACTGATACTAGCTGCTCCTTTAGGCTATACACAGGCAGCAGGTACCCATTCAGCGGTCTCTCAGGTGGTGTACAAAATGGATTCTTGACAGCTGACACTGTTGAAGACATTTTTGATCATACATTAAAGACAACCTGACTGAACCGGCTGCTTAACCTAATTAATGAACTCAAGTATACACATAATTTAGTTTGTTTTTTAAAAGTACAAAAACAAAAAATAGGGTTTTTAAATTCCTTTCTTTTCATTCTGCAGTTCTGTGTGTCATGCTGTTCAAAAAATTGCTATGATAAAAAAATAAGAAGTACTTTTGCATTTATTGTTATTATTCCACAAATATATACACTGTAGGTAATTAAACTTTAACTACCATTGTTTAACTGTGGTTACAGTATTATTTTTATTCTTATTTTAATTTTCTTCTTAGCGTTTCAACCTTTATATGACAGCTGAAGAGAGACAGGGATGACATGCAGCAAAGGGCTGGGGTTGGGATTTGAACCCATGGCTACTGTGATGAGGACTATAGCCGTGGTGCATGGGGTGCGACATAACCACTAAGCTTTTCAGTGCCCCCTTATCTTACTATCATTGCAGTATGAACGGCATAAATAAGAAATCACCTAAACAGGGAATTTTTATAATATGGCATACAAAGTAGATATAAGTAATAATGGCCCTAGGATTGTGCCCTGGGGCACTTAAGATTTAAGGCTCTCCAGATTTTGTTTTTCCATCTGTAGCACGATGACGCTTCTATCATGTTTAGATGAGCTAGCAAGAGTTAATGTCCAGGAGGGAAAAGGGGAGATAAATGGGATGCAAGTTAGATGCATGATTTGCTTCAAAGAGGGCAAATGGAGAGGGATGAGTATGATAAATCTGTCTGTCTCACATCGCTGGGCTGTACACGAGGCTGCAAACACACACACACACACACACACACACACACACACACACACACACACACACACACACACACACACACACACACACACACACGCACAGCAAAGAGGGTGCTGCATTCATGGAGGGTATCATTTGTATCACATATTCATGAATATGTCAATGAATGTCACACCCAAAGTAGTATATGAAGAAGATTATATCAAACTTACATATTCTTAATCCTTTTATGTGAATTCTGCAGAAAAGCATCCTTATAATGAATCATGAAATAACAGGAACATTATACATTATAATGTAATATAGTCTTACAAAGCTATGGAAGCAGCACATAAAAAGTGCATCTCATCCTTCTGAGGTAGAATCATTTTAAAACAATTTAGCACAGTATGTATTTGATCTATGCAGTTGTTTTGTGCATCTTGCATCCTCTTAAGTAGTATGTATGTAGCATACACATTCTAGTCATTGTGGTTGTACCTGCCTGAACTCTCCTGAAAAGTGAGAACAAATCCGTCAAAGTTGTTGTAGCCATCCGAGGAGAACAGAATGTGCAAGAAGTTCCCAGAGCTCTTCATTGGAGGAGGCAGCCGATCCCCGCAAAACCGGCCAATCACAGGAGAGTTCAGATTGTCTCCGTCACGCACCTCGACGTAGTCATAACGACAGTTATGGTCGGACTCCAGACTGAGCTGTGCGAACCTGCAGCACAGCCAAAGAGAGGTTATGTTTAACTGATATTTCAATCCAATTCAAAAGGCTTAACATCAGTCTCCCAGGTACAGAACTGTGCAAATAACAACTCCAAGTCCAATTATGTGGGCTCATGCAGGGCCGTCTGTGCACTCAGCTTTCACCTTCACGTCGGTTGAAGTGTGCCTGTTGAGATGATGCTGGTCTTGTGACTTAACGTTAATAATTAAAAAAAACAACCACATTTCTTTTTCCACGATTCTCTACTTTGGTTCTTATAGTTTCTGAGTGTGCAGAATTTCATGATAAACTGTAATATTAAACTATGGCCCCCTATTTCAGTGTACGTGACTTTGACTTTGGTCAGTTTGGGTTGTTCTTAAAAGCTTATTAATCAATTTGACTTGACTCGACTGTTGGACTATTAAGAACGATAGTACAAGAGGTAAGGGCTAAAAACTTTACCTAGAGCAGGGATTCCAAAACTTTTGAGCCCGCTAACCCCGAAAATAACTGTGCCAGCAACTGGGGACCCCCATTGTCCCTGGAGGTGGTTAAAACGTTTAATGTTGCGCACAGCCGGGCACACTATGAGGCCTATCCAAAAAGTGACATTAGAACAGCACAGAAGAACACAACAGCCCAAACAGAAACGCCAGAAGCAGAGCACACGTAATCTCTTGAACAATGTTTTTGTTTATATTTTCACAATAATGGATAAGATATGCTATTTAAATTTGTAATTCTTGCGACCCCCCATGGGGTACTGACCCTCACTTTGGAAACTACTGACCTAGAGAATGGGACAACATTTAAATAACTTGTGTTTGTTTTGTCCTAATATTCAAACTTCATACACAGGGCATGGCAAAGGTATACTGTCAATGACACCCTAATTTCATTCAGGTTAAATTGGCATTGTTGAGATCAACTCTCCCTAAATGATTGTGTATGACAATCTACGATCGTATATCTTCGCCTCAACATTACACTATTAAGATAGTCAACAGAATTTTAAAACATGCATAATAATAACATGCATAATTTTTTGCAAAGATATGGGCTTCTTTCTGTGCAGTTGATTCCAATGTTTCATGTTACACTCCATTTATATGCAACATCTAAAGAATGAGCTTGCTTTTCAGAAAAGTGATAGGGCTAAGATGGAAATTGGGAATTTGTCCCTTTTCTCACAGAGCCAAGACTTGAGGTGTAAACTCATTCACAGATTGATAACGAGTTTGTCTCCTGTGTAGCTGCTTGTAGATTGAGGGAAAGTAGACTCACAAAGCCCAGAAACTAAAGACATCCTTTCGGTTGACCTGCAGCAATCTGAGTTAACTGCATTGGATATACATGCCACTGGTTTTCTAATGTCAGGTTGATGAAGCCAATTTCTTCTCAGATTGTTAATATTTTGAGAGACTCTGTGTTTGTTTCATAGAGCCACAAATAAGTTATGTGTCATTATGTTGGCCTCATTTTAAAGAAACAGCATCCATGTAAGCTAGGTAAACCTTACCCAGACCTAAGCGCCAGGCTGTTGCATTAATACTGATACACTGTAGATAGATTTTCTAACTTTGTATCACCTCAAGTCACTTTTAAGGAAACAGACTTGTTTTCTAACGCTGACTACATTTCAGTGTTTCGTTCTGTGTGTGTTTGGAAACAGTGACCCACCTCAGCTGGATGCTGCTGCCCCTCTCCACCTGCACTATCCACTCACATCGGGCGTTAGTCGGGTAACTCTCCAGGGCGATGTGACCCTGAGTCCGCTGAACGACTCCTCCACACGCTGCTCACAAAATCACAGTGAAAACATTCTCCTGAAATATCCACTTTCTTATTAAATGTGTGTTTATCACAGTGTTTAAACACAAGACTGATGATGGGGCATGTTGTGTTAGAGGGCAGATAAATTATTATAAATAAATCTGATGCAGCTAGCCACTTCAATAACCATAATTATAGACAACATGCTGGCATTTTGGTGGCCAGTTTTCTCTTCAAAGACATTTAAAAATGATTGATGTAAAAAGATTACAAATTAATATCCCACTCCAAATAGAACAGGATGATAGTTGACATTTTCAGACCTCAGTTCAGAAGGCTTCAAGATTTCAGGCCTTTGCATTAAAGAGTTCTATTTTTCTACACACAGCTGCATTAGCAAAGCACTATTAAAAACGGTTCAGCCTTTTTAATTTTAACGCTTGACCACTCAGATTGATTCAGACTGTAAACAGGTTATGTAGGACAACAAAGGCTTCTCAACAGCTCTTTGCCTTCCCTTGTGTACGTCAAACTGACAGTACATGACAGAATGGCATCCATGCGGCAATTTCCCCCCGGGCCATTAAAAAATAAAGAACAGAGAAGTATCAAGAGAGTAAGTAACATGAAAGCAAAACTTGTTTGCTTCTTTCTATTAATAGCATGATGTTGCCTTGGGCTGTAGCAGCACATGATTGATTTAAATTATTTGGATATAGAAGCTGCTGCTGTAGCTGGTAACCACATCTCCAAAAGACAAACAAACAAACAAAACACATGATGAGTATTAATCTCCCTTTATATGGGCAAACTTCAACTTCCTGGATACTAGCAGCTGATTGTAGCTTGGCTGTGCACCAAAATAAAAAAAACATTGTCGCCCCCAAGTGTCTGTATGCAGTATTACAAATGAGGAAGTCAAATCTGAAAACAATATGCTGTATTGATTGATTACAGCCCAGAGTCCTTTGTTACATAAATTAGTAGTGTATATTCTCACAGTTGTACATTAAATAAAATTGCAAATGCAGCAAAAAAGAAAATAATTTAATGTTGTACTATCCATCAAGTCTTTTCATGCTGCCACATATTTCAAATATTTCAAAACTCTGTTATTAATGGTGCAGTGGTTATATTACCCTTTGAACATGTACATGATTTTCATCATCTTATTATCGTGTACATTTTGCCCAATGAGACGGTTGTGTGGCTGTCCGATATGGAAACGTCAGCCCTAATATATGATGCAGTACAGCAGCTACATATTTAAAGTAAGCAGCATGTTATCCATGCTTTTTTGAAGGTAGCTATGAGATCCAGAACATTATAGAAAAGTCGTAACAGACGGACTGTGCGGATAAATTCATACTTACTTTTACAGTCGCCTCCACTCCAGCCCTGGCGACACTCGGTACAAAACTTTCCATTGACAAAGAAGTCATCATTGGCTCTCCATGTGCCATTGTTGCATGTTTTACAGTTTTCAAACAGACTGCAGCCTGGCAACAACAAAAGCACAAAAATGTGAAAGTCAGTTTTCAACTTTAGTCACCTGCTAATGAAACACCATCATGATCAAGGACAGGCTGACCATTTCCTGGTCTTAACGCCCTGTGTCTTTGTGGTTTGTCCTCCAATTTTGTATTTTTTGTCAGAGAGAAGCAGCTGTGTGTGTTGAATCAGAAATCGAAAAAAAGTTACAGTAGGTAGATTGAACCTCTTCCAGGTTGTTTTGACTTAATAGAACATCTCGAAGTGACAATGGGAGTGCACCTGGATGAAAGATGCAGGGGTCACACTGATCCAGAGCATTGCGGCAGCAGGGAACAGTGTAGCCCACCCTTGACCCTTTGGAGGGACAGCGACACTGGATCAGGTGGTACTCGCAACACGGACGACACATTGCGCTCCACTCAGAGCTCGGGCAGCTGTCTCCTGTGAGAGTGGAACAGAATAAAGAATTATACAACTACTGAAACATCTACCATCTGATACTTCTGTTTTACCTACACTAAGATAATTCATGATGAAGCCTACCACATGTTCCCGTCTAATATGATCAATATTTTCACATTTATTGTCAAGGAAACCTGCTATATCCAAACTGTACATGGAAAACTTGTGTGTTTTTCCTTCTACATTGAAGCATACAGTCTTAAGAATAAACGGAGACACGTCTCAGCAGCAGATGTGACTCATCGCCATGAAATAGCTCCACAGTTAGTCAGCAAGCAAGTCAGCAGGCTTTATTTTGTTAAAATGTTTGAGACTCTTTTTTAAAAAAAAGACAAAGCAATGCCATGTAAAAACTCTCTAGTATTGTGTACAGTAAGAGAAACATTCAATTAAACCCAAAATAAATGTCTTTCACTTACCATGTGGCCAAGCTGCCACACAAGCACAAAGAATCAAGAGGAGGTAGAAGGGTTTTGAATGAAAGAGAGTTGGCATGGGAAACCGCCTTGTGGAAAAAGCGGGCATGTTGGTTGCCAATCTCTCAGCAACTTCCAAAAGAGATCCAGGAGAGAAGCACCAGCTCAAAGTTATCTACAGATCTTCTTGTCTGTGCGGAAACATGATGTAGCTACAGATGATCAATTCTTCCATCTCAGCATAATGGACAGAGATCATTAACCCATTCCTGACATGAGGTTTTCTTTAGTCGTTTGTTTCTGCTTTGAATTTATGCAGCTCAGATCATCGCAAAGTCCCCCCAGCAAGTCCTAGCTCCTCTGCTCTCGGTGTGAGTCCAGAATAAGTGCTTCCCTCCCAGTAGTAACAGGGGGGGGGGGGATACTTGCTGGCAAACAATGTGGAAAGTGCATTTGAGGGAATAAAGACATGCTAATGAGGAAAACAGTAACGGGTGATGAAGAAAGTCCAGAGAGAGGCAAATATTCCATCTGCTATAGTTGACTGAAAAAGTTTTCAGAACGAACAGAAGTGAATTTCTACAAAGCTGCAAATCATTGTTTTTATTTTTCCAAATAATATAAATATATATTTCTGTGAGCACCTCATGCCAGAAATGTGTTTACTGATGCTTCATCCTACACCAGCTGTCACGCCAGACATGACAGTATTAAAACTTCTTGGAAGACAGATAACAGATGTCGCCTCTATGAAATGTTTATGATGTCAGTCTCCACTGATTTGCCAGGAGCAATGAGGCTGATAGGATCGTCACAGCCCATTTCATGTCCAAGGTTGCTTTTCCATTACCTAAGCCTTTACTGAGGAGTTTCCATGTTTAGATATCAGGTTTCATCTCCTCCATTACAACAGGTTGTTAGGAGACAGATTGAGACTGATGTACAGACATGTCTTTACATAATCACTGTTTATAAAGACTGTTGTCTTTAGCCTTTTTGATTGCCTTTTATTATAGAATCAGAAGTAATTTTTCAAAAGATGAGGAAATGAGGCTTATTTTAATAGATGATTCAGAAACTCTTGTATTTGTGACATATAACAGCAGGTCGCCCCAAACAACAATCCAGAGGGCCCTACGAGACACGTGGTTAGTAACTGACAAATAGTACAGGAAGATTGACAGCTGGTGACATGCAGTAATATGATGAGAGTGCACAGGTTTGTGGACTTTCAGTTATAAACATCATGAGTTTGGCCGTTTATACAAAGGTAGTTAAAGCAGAAAGTGAACATATATATATAAGGGTAATAACACCATTCCAAGACCTGCTGGCGGGAGGGCCGTCACAAGCACACCCCGGTCTAATGCATTTAGGCTCCCTTTTGAAACACTTCTTTTAAATCATCTTTTTGGTTCATAGCAAACACAGTGTTTCATGATTGTTATTATAAAACATATACTAATGGTAATCTGGTATCTGGTAATCTGGTTGGTATTATTTCAGGCATTTCAGAACACAAAGTATTGACTATAACATCACAAGTTGTTCTCATACCACTTACATTACGTTATCATTTGAAAAATAAAATATCACAGAGCTGAAAGTGTTTGGTTACTGAATCAAAGTTAAACATTGCTGAGGCACCACGCCTTGATAAATAACCAAAAGCTTCCCTTCTGTTATTTTTTTTTAAGCTGTAGGTTGTCATTATTGACCACTAGAGGGCAGCAGATACAATAAGAACGCAAACTGAGAGTTGACTGAAATTGTAAAGAACAGGCAGAGGTTAACTAGGAGAGTTCATCTGTGTCAATAACAACAATAAAACTAAGGCTACAAATTAAGTGTGTGCCATGTAGCATCTAATTCCACAGGTTACATTCCCTTTGTGAAGAAAATTGTTCATTATCTTGCTAAATGCATGACTCTTCTTTTCAAGCTCTTCCTTATCCGTGGGCTGCAAAGTGCTCGGTCTCTCTGAAATAAATTAGTCCAGAATGTGAGCATGCATGTGAATAAAAATATGTGGAAATGACAGATGTGTCAAGAAAATAAAAGCTGTAATTAGTGCTAAAAGGGTTCATACAAAGGGCAGCCTTGTAGTAGGTAATAGTTGTATTGGTGATTTGAATCTAATTAGTGATAATTATCTAGTTGGGCTGTCATGCTGTCATTTGAGTATACATACCACATGCACTTGCTAAAAATTAACACCTTTATAGAGTTAAATATAGTTTGTTAGTTATACTACAAACATGGTACTATCATAAAGTTTTGAATCATACAAAGGAATACACAAACAGACCAAACATGTAGATACCAACCCAAGGCCAGATTTTTGGAGGAAATTATAAATAATATGTTGATTAATTTAAACTCTAAAAGCGAGTATGATCAGAATTTTCATCTCAATGATTGAACACAATGTGAAAGATGTCCGTCATCGATGTACCCACAGTGAATTATTGTGCCTGCCTTCCCCTTGAGTTCCTCTGATCAAAGCCACAGATTTGTTCCCCCCTTTTAACGGCCTGCAACGCCATTATTTTGGAAACAACTGCACCAAATTCAGAACAACGTTAGCAAGTAGCTAGCTATCAAGATAGTTAAGCATTTATCAGCTTACGACATGCTAGTGTTGTTCGTAACATGCTGATGCTGTTGGTGCCGTCTGTCATACCACTATCTCCATCTTCCACCACTATGATACTTAAGTAAAATAATACCAGCGGTCTTGCTTCACAACATGTGTATTTTCTATTTTAAATGTTTTTTTTTTTCTTTGTTGTCAACGTGAGTGCAAAATATTTATGTGACTGAAGTCATGTTAATGTTTCTCTCGTCTGTTTTTATGTGCATTGAAAGTAAGTTTATTTGATATCTCCATGGTGACAGTAGAGTCATTTCATAAAAGTGTCCTCGACGATGATACCAGTAAGCTCGTAGCAAAGCATATTTCAGCTAACAACACCGTAGCCAGCCAAATTTCCGCCTTGAAGAAGGACTTTGAAAGGCTAATTAACCGTTTTTAACTACACATTTATGATTGGCATGGACATCAGGCTGTGTGTATTGATTACTCTTGATACTGTCATTGCTGCCCCCAAGTGGACAAAAGAAAATCAATGACTACAAGTGAAAATGCACTTTAAAGCTAGGCTGAGGACAATGCTGACTTGGAAGACTGAAACAAAAATACATCTTCAAGAAATAAGAACGCAGCTCCCATTACGAATTGAGAAGGCACTCCTACTCACTGCAAGAATATACTGTAGTCCCAGTTTTGAACTCAAACTGTCCCAGTCGTAATTAACCATGCATCAAAGTGACAGCCACATCTTGACCACAACTTTGAGCTGACCTTGAAAAAAAAAAAACATGACTGACTGCAATGATATTTGCAGCCTTTGAACTGCCAATCATTACAGGAGATTTTGCCTCGTCCTGTCATGTTGAACTTGACCCAAACAGACATGAGAGAGACAGAGAAATGAGGGATGGGGGATTATCTGCTATCACTTTGACACACTTATAAAACTTTCATTGGTGTCACAAGGCCAAATGTACTGTTGAAATGAGTTCTTGACATCAGAGACCAGTGTTTTTTTTTGGTTCTTGTAATTACCCATGGTGCTCTGATGGCTATTTTTAGCCCTCTTGTTGCTCAGGGAAATATTCCACTCAGAGCCCAGACACCCTCTCCAAAACTCTGTTCCAACATCTGCTGCTGTTCCTAAACTCCATCCAAGATACCTACGTTTGGTAATAGCATCACATAGAGGGAACATCCCAGTAAACCCATTTCATCTCCTTAAAATGAGGCCCAAGAGGTAGCAAGAATTATGAAGCTAGACAAAGATTAAGCTTGGCAGTCATTACATGCACTTAGCTGTGTCTGTCTTTGCCAGAAGATGTGGATTTCTAGCAAGAATTAAGTACAGGAGCTCTGCATGTAAACATTTTTTTTATATAAAAGCAACATTGTTTTAACAAGCCAGAATCAATATCTGTTGTGATTCTATATTTAAATGTTTCTTCACATTCTGTTGTTTATTCATAAAATGCAAATGTACTCTCACTGCTTATTAAATCTCACTAACACTTGTTAATAAAAGGCCTGCAAGTGATTCTGAGTGTTGTTTCTATTGCAAGATACAGTACATGTAGAGAATCCCTGTCCTCTTACTGTGTCAAAAACAAAATGATTTAAAGCAATATGTCTCATTTTCAGAAAGAGCTGCAATTTATGTACCCAATGTATGTACCCTTGTGTGATTTTTAATGTAACTCATGGACTCATGGTGTTTTTACGTTCTCTTTTACGTGTCATGTGATTGATAAATGTTAATCCAACAATCTGTGTAGAAGCTGTTTGGTTAGGAGTTTTAAGGCCCGTCTCAGCTGCACCAACTCACCTGTTTCTAGGTTGACCGAAAGTCCGAAAAATCTTTCAGTGATGTCACTGAGACAACGTCCATGTTTCATGGTGCATTCATGTGTCGTCGGAAAAGGGAGAAAAGAATTAGGTGCCCGACTTGACGTCAGAATCCTCATCACATGGGAGGGCAAAATATATGTTGTTAATACTTTTTTTAAATTCACGTATTGCACATCTACTTTTTTAAATTCAACGTATTGCACATCTACTTTTTGCTCAAATATCACTTTTAACATTTCACAAATCTTCTTCGTAGCATCAACGCTGTTTTGCGATGTTGTTACAACATTCCGACTTTGCGTGCTGAAATCACGGGAACACACCGAAGTCCGAAGAACGACTTCCCAACTTGGAAACTTGGACCACCTAAGCAGCACCAGTACAGCATTATACTGTTCGTGCATTTACGTCATTATTCCGCTTCTGTGTTGAACCCATATTAAGACATGTAAGTTTACCCAAAATATGTATTTAAATATATGTTTTATTTGACAAGAGTGCCAAAAGTTCAATCATATAAATACAATGAATCTCTTAACAGTGAAACAACAATCCGTCCTTTCAACATGAAGACATGGAAACAGTTGAAATTTCACACCATCTTTAATGTTCTCTGTTAGCTTAGCTCCATGGCTCAGTTTCCACTTCTTTAAATGTTACAGAGATGACGGGATGAAGTGTTAAAAAGCTGTCTTTGGATACAGACAATGAGTTACCAGAACACTTTCAGGCTGGTAAAGAGATACATGATATGTCACCATGTAAGTGCAAACAAAGACTTGCTCGTGTTTCTTCAACAGTACACTGCTCTGAAATGAAAATGAAACCTGTAAATGTAAGAACAACATCCGATACAAGACTGACCTTTCGGTACATACTCCACCAGCCTCTGTTTTCACTTGCAAATCATTAACCGTATTTCTCAATCATATAAATTATATGATTAAACAAATGAGTCAGACCACAACAGGATGT